CAGTATCTTGTGGTGGTGACACAGAAAGTGTTGGTAAAAGAAACATTTTTCCAGGAACATGGATACTCCAGTAAATGTATTGTTGAACTTTTGATGAAGTGACAGAGGAACAGTTTTTATTGTAGTTTCATTTGCATTCCTATGCTGTGAGTGAAGCTGACCATTTATAAGGTTTATAGCTGGGTGGTACTCTGTAATCCCAGAACTCTAAATTAGAAATTTAAGCTCAGCCTGGGCAATTTAGCAAGACCCTGTCTCAAACTAAAAATAAAAATGGGCTGGGACATCCAACAAGAATAATTTTGCAGTCAGATACAATAAAATCCTGAGGAGCATCAAAATGATTCTGAGTCTAGGATCTGAGTATTAATTCTGCATATGAGGAAGCAGATGTAGTAGCCTTACACATAAAAAGAGAAAACAGAAAAAATAACTAAACATAAAAGTGAATCCCCTTTATTAATAGGTGACATGGGAAAATAAGTAGTTGCATATTTTTCAGAATAAAATAAGTCAAATAACCAAAGGAAATGTATTACAGTAAAACACAATTTTAAGGAACTTGTCTATTACAGAGAATATTATTTCATATCATGTCTACAAAACACATACAAAAGCCAACTTGTATTTGGCCACAAAAAATATATTAGTGTTTTAACTTTCTAATGATGTTTTTACAGAACAAACATACATTATAATTCCATATGTTAAATCTTGAGAGCAAATTTTTCAAAAATTGAAAACACACAACTAATGAATGAAAAACAATTCAAAATTAAAACAAAAATATCTAGATGCTAATAAAAACAACTATGGGTCATAGAGCAATATTTAATGGAAGTCCTGGAGACTTAAATTTCTCCATTTGAAAGACAGAAAATACTATTCCTCCCATCCAAATACTAACCAGGCCCGACCCTGCTTAGCTGGGCCAAGATCAGACGAGACGGCGTGTTTGGGGTGGTATGGCTGTAGACAAAAAATACTATTCCTGGGGCTGGGGATTTAGCTCAGCCGCACAGCGCCTGCCTGGCAAGCGCAAGGTCGTGAGTTCCATTCCCGGTACCGGAAAAACAAACAAACAAAAAAATACTATTCCTAAGCACCCATATTTCATTTAAAAAAAAAAAAAACAGGAAAAAAATCTAGGCATGGTGCATGTCTATAATCCCAGCACTTGGAGAACTGAGGCAGGAGGATCACCATGAGTTGGAAGGCAGGAAGTCAGCGTGGCTACAAAGTGAGACCCTATCTCAGAATAAACAATCAAAAACAGGCAAGAAAACAGGAATAGTGGCACACGTGTGTAATGCCAGCTACGTGGGAGGCTGAGGCACAGGAGGCATACAGACTGCAAGACTGAGCACATATTGCACAATTTAGTGACTTACTGGGAACCTATGTCAAAGGCAGAGGAGGTTGTAGGTGTAGCTCAGTTCAAAGGTCTTGGGTTCAATCCCCAATACCACAAAACGACAAGAAAAAATACACTGAAAAAAACCAAAGAATTAGGGCTGGGGATATAGCTCAACGGCATAACCACCTACCTGGAAAGTGCAAGGTCCAGAATTAGGTCCTCGGTACCAAAACAAACAAACAAACAAACAAACAAAAACCTCAAAGAATTAATACTGCAAATGTACTTGTTAACTATAAAAAAGCAAGTAAAGCCAGGCATGGTGGTGCATATCTGTAATCCCAGCACTCAGAATGCTGAGACAGGAGGATGGCTGGGAGTTTCAGGCCACACTGGGCTACACAGTGAGTTCAAAGCCAGCCTGCACTACAAAGCAAGATCTTGCCTCAAAAACCAAAACCAAAACAAAATAAAACAAACAAACAAAAAAAAACCAAGCAAGTAATTGAAACAAGAATACAGCCAAAGGAAAGCTTTGTTGACACAGCAATTCAAAAAAAGTATCTCCTTAAATAAATTTAGAGAAATAATGGTTTAAAAATAAACAAAACCATGAGGAGATAAATACAGATACTGAAAAGTGAAAAACAATTACATTCCCTAGCAACAAATTTGAAAATCTAAAGAAAAGGAAAAATAAAAATACCACATTTCATTAGTTCTAAAATGCACTTTTTATTCCACATTTTAATATCTCTTAAATTGGGATTAAATTTATACTCAATTATCTATTAAAGATTCATTGGTAGAATTTTAAAAATTAGTACTATTGTATATTTTAGATGGTGCACCTTACAAGTGTAGATTCTTAAATGTAATAAGATGCTTTAGCCTATCTCTGACTACTGTAATTATATAGCATCTCAGAAATTTACAAAAAATAACTCAGTTACCTTAAATTATGAAATGTACCACAGTACATTTTGTTTCCTTTTCTTATGAAAAATGTGACTGAATGCCAGAATATTCTCTCAAAGGATCTGACTGAGGGGTTGGGTAGAAAATTATACCCATTATTACTTTAGCTAGAGAGAAGTTTTTCCAGCTTTTTTAGAAACAAGAATTTTTACTTCACATTCCTTATATTCTAACTATCTCTATGCTTCTTTTTTTTTGTACTGGGAATTGAACTCAAGACCTTGCACTTGCCAGGCGGGTGCTTGTGCTGCTGAGCTATATCCCCAGCCTTCTATGCCTCCTTAGAGTCAATTCTGGTAATTTAAGCACTCTTTCCACAATGCACATGTTAAATTTCAAAATACTATGTAATATGTAATTGTAAAATATCAGAATCTAGAATAGAAACCTTTACTTACTCATAATGTTCTTAATGAATATATATTTACCGGAATTGCAATTATATTATTTATTTTTTCCTAAACAAGTAGGTTATGATGACTAATTAACTCATTTTTTCAATCTTTTGTATTTAAATTATTTACTTTTACTTTTACCTTTCATTATTTGGAGGGTTTTGTTATTCTTTTTCCAGCATCTTGTGTTTATATAAGTTTCTTTATTCATAATCTCCTTTACATTCTAACATATTAGTGGATACAATACTATAAATATTTTCCCAGTGTAAGATGTGACAGATCCTCACAGTTTTGTTATGGATTTCACTCAATGACATTTATTTTAAACAAAAATTAACTTTAGGCCAAGTCATGGCACATACCTGTAATCCAGCTATTTAGGATGGTGAGGCAAGAGGGCTACAAGTTCATGGCCAGCCTGGGCAATTTATCAAGATCCTGTCTCAAAAAATAAAAAAGCTGAGGATATAACTTAGTGGGAGGCCATGCACTCAAACCTGAGTACCTTAAAAATAGTTTTGTTTTTGTTTTTAACCAAAGAATGATGCAGATGGCACTGAGTTAATATTCAAGTGTTTTCTCTTGTTTTAGGGAAGGGTCTTGGTATGTAGTTTAGGTGGCCTTGAACTCATATGTAGCCCAAGCTGGAACTCATAGAAATCCTCCTGTTTCAGTCTCCTGAGTGCCGAGATTATAGGTATACAACACGATATCTGGCAATATCCAGAGTTTTATGCAAGGACTAGCATAGCTTTATTTTTATGTCTACCATAATATGAATTTTATGGTGTACTTGCCTCCTCACACTTTTATCCTGGGTTTTTCTTCAGGGTGAATTATTATATTATTATTATTAATTTTTGGTACTGGGAATCAAACTCAGGACCCCGTGCTTGCCAGGCAGGTGCTGTGCCACTGAGCTAGATCCTCGGCCCAGGATGAACTATTCTTATTCAACAAGGAATAAATTGTGATCAGACTTAATAAATGGTGATGAAATTCATTTACATGACTGTTTTTCTCTATTATATTTATTATTCAGTAAGTTACGGATGATGATTAAAAGTTTTCCATAAATGATAACAATTATGATGGCTAATATTAACCAAGCATTTATTAAGTATTAGGCACAATTACAGAATCCACATAACAATGCTCTGAAGTACTCTAACCATGTTCACATAATGATGTGTATGTCATATATGCATCTAAAAGAATTTGGGAGATTAAATTGATTAACACTGAGGAGGAACTTACATCAAGAATGGCCACAGGGAAGCACAGCTTGACCTGTAATGTATAAATCTTTTACAAGCAGAAGAAATCCACACATTCTCTCTGAAATAAACAGCAAGTAAATAATGCAAACACATTCAAAAAGGTCATCAAGGTAACTGTTTATAATAGCAAAATTTCAATATTTGACAAAATAGCATTTTGATGAATATGGGTAAGTATTTAATTAAGAAAATAAAATAGTGACAATATAGTTACAGGCAAAGAATATTGAAGGCTGGTAAGAGTATAGCATAATCACATTTTGTTAAAAAAAAAAAAAAGAAATAATTCTAAAGGGCTTGCTCCAAGTTTGACTATGCTTATCTATGATAAGTAAAATTATAGAAAACCGTATCTTTTTGTTGTGCTTATCTACATTTTTCTGGGAGAAAGTTTTTGAAAAATCAGAAGTATAATTTCTGTTAAAAGAAAAAATTCTCCAAAATAAACGTACAGATCCATCAGATATTAAAAAATATTTAAAAGTAACAGTTACCTAACATAAACAAAGTGAGACACAAATACATGTACACAAGTTTTTTTAAAAAAAACACTGATGATATACAAAATTTATATAAATAAAAATATAACAAAAAAGTCAATAAAAAACAACATAAAATTAGTTATTGAATAAATGGTGTTAGGAAGAGAATTGAGAGAGGGAAAAAGATAAATTTAGATTTTCAATAAATAAAGTCATTTTGTGATGGATTTTAATTCTGTATAATACATATTGGGAAGCTGACACAGGAGGACTGGGAGTTCAAGGCCAGCCTGGGTAACATAGTGAGTTTAAGGCCAGGACTACATAATGAGACCGTGTCTCAACAAATACACATAAATATATTTTAAAAAATGAAAGTCACAAGTTTAGCCAAAAATGCTTCTTTCAATTTTTAAATAAAGGTAAAATACAATAAACTTTTTTCCATTTTTAACATTTATTTTGAACCTTCTGAAATTCATAAAGAAATAAACGTAGACAAAGATCTTCCAATATATATTTTATTCAAGGTAGTTTTTTCCCTACATTAATTCTCTTAGGCTAACCTCTGAAGCATAAGTCTTGTGTGCCTTAATTATATTTGTAAAGATTTTTACCACTATTAATTTTCTGTGTCACGTGTTGAAAGTTCTTCCTGTATCACTTCATTTCACAGAATTTCTAGTTCATTAAACTTCTCACCTTTGTGACTTTTCTTGTTTCTGAAGATCAACCCCTCCCCAAAGTTTCCCATAATCCTTACATTCATAAGGTTTCTCACTAGTGTGATATCTCTGATGTTGATGTTGAATAACATTCCAGTCACTAGGAAAAGCCTTCCCATATTCCTTACATTCATAAGATTTCTTACCAGTGTATTCTCTGGTGCCTATTAAGAGCAGAAACACTACTAAAGGACTTTTGACATTTTTTACATTCGTAGGGTTTTTCACCAGAATGAACTAGCTGGTGTTGAATAAGTTTCGATCCACTACTAAAGGCCTTCCCACATTCTCTACATTCATATGGTTTCTCACCAGTATGAATTCGCTGATGTTGAGTAAGATCTGAGCCACTACTAAATGCCTTGCCACATTCCTTACATTCATAAGGTTTCTCCCCAGTGTGCATTCTTTGATGCTGAATAAGTTTTGAGCCACTTCTAAAGGCTTTCTCACATTCCTTACACTCATAGGGTTTCTCACCAGTGTGAATTCTCTGATGTTGAGTGAGATCTGAGCCACTATTAAAAGCTTTCCCACATTCCTTACATATGTAAGGTTTCTCACCAGTGTGAATTCTTTGATGTCGAGTAAGGGCTGATCCAAAACTGAAGGCCTTTCCACATTCAATACATATATATGGTTTCTCACCTGTATGAATTCTCTGATGCCGATTAAGGGCTGAACCACTACTAAATGCCATTCCACATGCTTTACATTCATAAGGTTTCTCACCAGTATGAATTCTTCGATGTTGAGTAAGGTTTGAACCACTGCCAAAGGCTTTCCCACAATCTTTACATTTATAAGGTTTCTCACCTGTGTGAATTCTGTGATGCCGAGTAAGCGCTGATTCAAAACTAAAGGACTTCCCACATTCCTTACACTCATAAGGCTTTTCACCACTATGAATTATCTGGTGTCGAATAAGACCTGATCCAAAACTAAAGGCTTTCCCACATTCCTTACATTCATATGGTTTCTCGCCGGTATGAATTCTTTGGTGGTGAGTAAGGTTTGAGCCACTACCGAAGGCCTTTCCACATTCCTTACATTCATAAGGTTTTTCACCAGTGTGAATTCTCTGATGGTATGCAAGGTTTGCGCCACTACCAAAGGCCTTGCCACATTCTTTACACTCATAAGGTTTCTCACCAGTATGAATTTGCTGATGTCGTATAAGGACTGATACAAAACTAAAATCCTTCCCACATTCCTTACATTCAAGGAGTTTCTCATCAGTGTGAACTGTCTGATGCTGGGCACTAAAAGTGGGCATGTCTTCAGGAGTAAATATCATATGACTGAAATGTCCTTCCTGAGATCCCTGTTTTCTCTCAAACTGGCTTTTCCATTCCCAATCACCTCTGAAACTTGAACACTCAATGCTGTGTTTTGTAAGTCTTTCCATTATCTCCCATCAGGATGATTCTATTCCATAAATATCCTTTTTCAGAAATAATTTCTTGGTCTCAACCTTGATTCACAGTCTGAAAGAAAATATAAAAGTAAATATTCACATTTTTGTGTTCTGGGAGAAATGAAACTGTTACAATAGAGATGAAAGACTTAACTGAAATTAATTGTCATAAAAAGTGAATAACATATAGTTCTCAAATATGGTTGGCCATTTTGAAAAATAGATCAAGAAAGCAAAATGAATGGGAAAAGGTCACACTGAAATGTAAAGGAGACATTAAAAAAAAAAAACAGATTAAACCAATTGTTCCTAAATAGTCACTTAGAAAAAAATTCCCTGAAGATTTGGGGAGCTTGATAAATACAAAAATATACTAACCCAATTCTAGCTTTTTATTTATATAATGAATCTAGTGTCATATACACTTATAAATGAGAATAATTATCATACTCATTATTCAGCAATCAGGAATAGCTTGTCAAGTAGCAAACATTATTTGCACACAGACTGAAAGAAATTAAAAAGTACTACAGATGTAGCAGATGAAAGACTAATGTACTGAATGAGAAGGGAGTGAACAACGGGGGTGGAAGATTCCTCTGTGGTGAGGATAAAGAAAGTAACATTTGCCTGGGAAATCCATGAGGTTACCCTGATTATTTTTAATAACTTTAGTAACTCCTTCCTCTTCATTTCTTTTCTTCTTTCTATAATGGGAGTGGAACCCAGAACCTTGCAATAAGCTACATTCCCAGCCCTTTTAAATTTTTTGACTGTGTCTCAGTCACTAAATTGCAGAGGCTGGGCTCAAACTTGTATCCTCCTGGCTCAGCTTCCAGAGTTCTGGGATCACATGCATGTGCTCCCATGCCTGGCTATGTTTTTATTTTGAGACACGGTCTTTCTAAATTGCCCAGGCATGACTCTAACTTGCAATCCTCTGTCTCCATCTCCCCTAGTGCTGTGATTACTGGTGTGTACCGTCACACCTGGCTACAGATAAATTTCTGAAAACAGATTTCTCTAGAAAGAGGAAGACTGCATGTAATTATCCCCACCCTTTCTGACACTTCACTAAAAAGAATGAAAAAGAATTGTTAGAAAGGAACAAGCCCACCAAGTCAGAGAATTAAAGAGTAAATGGCATAAAAAATCAGAAGCTAGAAACATAAAGATGAATAATGACTACCTTAACAAACCAAAGAAAAGGAAACCTAAACCAAAAGCAAGAAAAACTCAGCAGATAATTTATGCCCCCCAAACCCAGAAAGGCTCATGAAGTGGGGACACTGATTACCTATGAAATTCTACAAATTACTATATACACAGTTACATAGACTTCTTAGTGCCTATAGTAAAATACAAATAGATCACCCACTTGTACATATATGTGCACTCAAATGTTCAATGTGGTATTATTCACAGCAGCCAAGACATGAAGTTTATGGAAACCTAAGTATACATTAATGGATGAATGGATAAGTAAACAATCATAGTTGGGTATGGTGGCACATGCATGTAGTCCCAGGACCCTGAGAAGCTAAGATAGCAGGATTGCAAGTTTGAGTCCAGTCTAGGTAACTTAATGAAACCAAAAACAAAACAGGAAAAATTTCTATGAACACATTAAATAGAATGAAGAAATGGAAAGCAAGAAAGAAAATTAGAAGCTCAGAAGGAAGTTCTACATCTAAGAGAATCTTTATTTCCCCCAAGTCATCCTAGCAAGGTTTTACTACTGAGCTACATCACATCCCTAGCCCAGGAGTTTTAAAAAAGTTTTAAAAGTAACTTAAAGCGAGGCATTATACACATCATCAATCTAGGAGGCTGAAGCAGGAGGATTACAAATTCAAGTTGAGCTCAGCCCTGGCAATTTATCAAACAAGATCCTATCTCAAAATAAACTAAATAAATAAAAACAGCTGGGGATGTAGCTCAGTGTCAAGACTCTCAGTTGAATCCCGAGTACTACCAAAAAAAAAATTTAAACTTAAAAAAATATATATCATACACATGCATACATCCGTATTTAAGTATTTAAGCTCTATAACTTATGATCCAGGTATGTCCTGATGAGTTACGATATACTTAATATACCTAACCTATGGTACAACACTGTACAAACTGTAGGTGAAGAATATCCATTGTTTTTTCCTTGTGGTCATTTGGTTGATGGGGACTGTGGTTTCCTGACCCTGCCCAAAAGCACAAAAGAGCATTTTATGGCACACCGGTAGCCTGGGGATAGATCACAATTCCAAATTTCCTTTATACTGGAAAGATTTGGAACTACTATTACCATAAGTGACAAAACTTGGCCTCACCAATAGCAGGACAACATGACATTATATACCTCCTGATGTAATGCAATAAGTCACTTATGTGGTACATTTGCTAAAAATACTTAATCTGAATCTCAGCCTCCTATCCACGAGAATGCCATTAGATAAACTGAGGTTATTGTATGGAACAACTATCTTGGATTGTTCAACAAAGTCCAGGTCAGATAACACAAAAAACTAGGGGCTATTCCAGATTAAAAAACACTAACATATGTTAATGTTCCTAGGTTTAAAATATGTTTTGTTTTTCCTTTTCCTTGTGGTGATGGGGATAGAATCCCAGGTCCATGCATATTCTCAGCAATGGCCCCTACTTCTGAGCTATATCCCCAGTCTGAAATATGTTCTTAATACTTAGGAGATATGTTTTAACACATTCATGATGGGGCCATAATTCGTATGTCATGCTGCCCGGTGGCCTAAAGCACCAATGGTACATGCATCACTGTCCCACTCGGTAGCTTTCTACTAATTTTCTTAGTAAAAAGACCAATAATAGTGGTTAGATCCATTAGAATGATCAATAGTTCAAGCCAGTGTGGAACATGTTGAAAGTATTGAGGGTAAGATGTCAAGATATTCCCAACTCAATTTGAAATGATTAAGGGGTAAAATGTTTCTGTGTATTTAGATATATAAAGCAATGTGCCAGAATTTTGACAGTCTCTCAATTTAGATCACAGGTGCTACAGTCTGAATGTTTGTGTTCCTCTAAATATTGAAAGCCCCTAAATATTGAAACCTCATCATTAATGTGATAGCATTAGGATATGCGGCCAGTGGAAACTTATCAAGTCACAAGCCAAGACTCCTCATGGATGGGATCAGAGCCCTTGTGAAAGAAGCCCCAGAGAGCTGTCCCATCCCTTATATGATGTGACAACATGGGGAGAAAGTAACCTATGGATTCGAAAACAGGTCTTCACTGGATACTGAATTTGCTGACATCTTAATTGTGGACTTTCTAGCCTCTAAAACTAGAAGAAATTAATTTCTGTTGTTTATAAGCTACCCAGTTTATGACATTTTATTAAAATGGCCCAAATAAACGAAGACAAGGCTACTCCAAAGTACCTGGAATTTTCTTTTAATTTTTCTGCATGGTTTGAAATTTTTCAAAGAAAACAAAATATTTGTTCTAAAAGTAACATCGAAGCACATTTTCCAGAACTCAAGGAAAGAATCACTACACTTACTGGGTCCATTTGATACTTAGCATATGGAATAAAAATTATTTACATTAAAATATATTTTCTTGCCAGGTTTAGTGGTGCACACCTATAACCTCAGCTCTCTGGAAAGATCAAGCAGGAGGATAACAAGTTTGAGTCCAGCCTGGACAACTTAGTGAGACTTTCCCTCAAAATTAAAAAAAAAAGGGCTTGAGATGTAGCTCAGTGTGAAGGCCTCGAGTTCAATCCAGAGTACTGCAAAAAAGAAAAAAAAGAGAGATTTACTTTCATTAGGTTCTAGAATGGTGGGGTCAAAGGAAAGCCCCTAACAGGTTTTAAAGGCAAAAATGGAGGATAAACAAAAAACCAGGAGTGAAAATGGATTTGGAGTTCAGAACAAAACTACAAGAACTCAGAAATTCAAACTTCTGAGGGAACACACTTTCGAAGTATAACTGTATATCCTACCAAAGAACCCACGTAACCATTGTAAAAGTTCTTTTCATATACTCTAGAACCCACAAAGTCTAACTCTCCTGTATGCTTCCTATATGCAACCTTTATAGAGAAGGGGGAATAAGGGATAAGGATGTAGTTCAGTGTTTGAACAGTTGCCTAGCATGCAGGAGGCCATGAATTAGATCCCCACCACAACACACACACACACACACACACACACACACACACACACACACACACATTCATATTCTCATTCTCTCTGTAAACCAAGCAATAGGTAAACAGAAAGGCATGGAATCCAGAAAATAACAACAAGGCAAATTTTAGAATAATATTTGGAAATAGCAGTTGCCAGAGAAAACAAAGAATTATAGGAGGGCTATCTCCAAACACAGGAAACTGACAGAACATATGAAAAAAAGATATTCAAACAGACTTTGAATGTGATTTACTGACAGAACATATGAAAAAAAGATATTCTAACAGACTTTGAATGTGATTTCCAAGGGCCACTGTCCCTTTTTTGAAAAAAGGTTATGTTAATTACATAAAAAATGAAATTGAACAATGTAACCGTGATTCCTAGCTCAATTATGAATACAATCCATTATAAGGAAGTTAGTCACAGAAGATACTTATAAAATTACTGCCCAAAACTAATATCTAAAATATAAAGATATTTCTCAGATTAATAAAAAACTAAATGATCCCAGATAAAAGGATGTCATTAAATAGACAGGAAAACACCTGGTACATGGTAAGTGCCATGTCCTTTTCCCAGGTTCCTAGAGCTGGTTCCTCATTCAGAGCTTCCACAATTCTTAGAATCTCCCAAGTGACAGAAATGTCTTTGTTGTTAGATCATCCCTGACTTTATGTTGAGATGATGCAGAGTGGAATCTGAGATAGTTTCAGAATTAGGGTAGTAGTTATCAGAATGACTATGAGCTAGCCTAATCACTGAGAAGTACAGTGGATATTGACTTGAATGTGGCCAATTATTAACCAATTATGCCTATATAATCAATCTCCAATAAAAATTCTAGATCCTGAAGCTCAGGGGACATACTGATATGCTAAGAGGGTGTCATGCTCTAACTTCACAGGGAAATGCATAAAAGCTGTGTTTGGATCCTCTCCAGACCCTGCTCTGTGTCTTTTCATTTGACTGCTTTTGATCAGTATCCTCATCTGTTACAATACAACAATTTTAAATACATTGCTGTCTAGAGTTCTATAACTCATTCTCCTAAATTACTAAGTGATCGGCAGCCACTTGGTCAGAAGTACAGGCAGATTTGTTGGGAACCACGTGGACACTTAAAACCATGTGGTCTTACAGTAATTCTGGATAGTTGGCACCAGAATTAAATTACACTAGGTACTGAAACATAGTAACATCCCATGTTCATGGACTGAAAAACTTAATATGTACTGTTAGTATGGCAATGCTCCCCAAAGTGATCTTTTGATTCAATGTAACCTCTATCAAATTTTCACTACTTGGAGAATTGATACTGCCCAGTCCTCAAATTCATATGGAATTTCAGACCTCTACCTGACCCCAAATAAACATGGATTACAACCTAAAACAGAAGAAGTAAATTATAAGCTCTTTCAAGAAAATATAAGGATTTGTAAATCTTTATGACCTGGCATTTGGCAACAATTCTTAGATTTGACACTCAATGTACAAGCAATGGAAAAAATACATGAATTTGAATTCATTATAGTTAAATGCTTTGTACTTTAAATGGGGACAGGTATTTTTTGTCCATATGGAAACCTTTTAAAATAAGAGGGCTGATGGTTGTACAACATTCTGAATACATTAAATGCCACTAAATTATACTTTATTTATGTATTCATTTATTGATTTACCTATCTGAAGTACTGGATACTGAACCCAGGGCTTTCAAACTGAGCTACATCTCTACCACCACCCCCTTTTAATTATGATACAGGGTCTTGTTAAATTGCTGATTTGCCCAGCCTGGGCTTGAACTTGCCATCTTCCTGCTTCAGTTTCCTGGAGTATTGAAATTGTAGTTGTATGCTATCATGTCCTCTGTGTGGTATACTTTAAAGTGGTTCATTGTATATTATGTTAAACTTACTAAATAAATTTTTTAAAAAGAAAAGGGAGCCAAAGATAACTTGAATGGAAGGATGTTCAGTTTTGCTGATAATTGTGACAATGCATGTCACAATCATAATGAGATATCACTTAATATACCAGATAGATGTAAAGAATGATGATTCTAACTGTTCACAAAGGTACAAAGAATAAGAAAACGTATACTATTGGAAGTAGAAATGTACACATTCACTTTGAAAGAGTTTGACATACTTCAGGTTAACATCAACATTCCTTATAGACACACCAATTCCACTCCTAGGAAAACAATGTACTCGAATGTGTGTATCAGTACTTTTTATTAAAAAGTGAAGACTAAAAATCCAATTTCTGCAAATCTATATGAATAAAATACTCTGTGATATAATCATAATAGTTATGAAATGAAAAGTACACAGCAGTGAAAAATTTAAAACATCTAAACTATTCATCAAAAGAATGTTGAACAAAAGCCAATAAAAGAACACATACTTCATGAACAAATTTATGTGAAGTTCAAAGCAGGCAAAACTAAAATATTCTTTAGGGAGTCACATAATGTTGATGAAAAATTTGTAATAGAAAAATGATTTTTACAAAAGCCTGCTTCATGGTTACACCTTAGGGATAAGTGAAAGACACTAACTGGTTTGAACATGCAGAAGGCTTTGAGGTATTAGCAATATTGCATATTTTAAACCTTATGATGGCTGCAGCACCAGCACCTAGCTGCTTCTTCTGGCAGTTTTGTAGCAAATGCTTCTGATAAGATACTTGGAGGGTAGATTTCTAAGAAATTCTAGAAGGCAGATTTCCAGCAAATTCCACTGGTACAGCAACACAACAGGAACAGGACCTAGATGAGGCAAGTGAAGCAGAGAGAGCTCAAACGTTAAGTAGGCACTAACTTTCCAATGCCAGAACTGCACATAGTGCCCTGAGCGAGAGTGTCTTGTTAAGAATGAAGAACCTACGACACAAAATTTGAAGCATTTACTCTCAGTCATGGAATATAGAGCTGACATCTGAGAGTTTTGTACCTTAGGTATCTGATTGCCTAGCGTTACTTCTAAACCTCCACTATAGCATTACTCTGCTATGCAGTGAACCACAGTTATGCCCTCTCCAAAAGTATCTGGGTCTTAGTCCTAGGACAGCCTTCTTCTTGGGTGCTATATCCCAGCCCTCAGAAGCAGTGGGTACTCTTAGGTCTGTTATTCCCATGGAATTTAGAGTTTTCATCATCTGTTGTAGCCAATCTACAATAGCTCTAAACTTCCATGACTCAGAGTAAATGCTTCAAATTTTGTGTCCTAGGTTCTTCATTCTTAGCAAGACACTCTTTCTCAGGGCCCTAACTGCTAAGGGCCCAGTTCTGGCATTAGAAAGTGAGCACCTACTTAAATTTTGAGTTCTAGCTGCTTCACTTGCCTCATCTAGGTCCTGTTCCTGTTGTGCTGCTGTATCAGTGGAATTTGCTATAGTTACTGCAGTCTATTATAGTTAAAAACTTTATGCTAAACTTTCTTAGTTGAAATTACTATGTTTTCTGTCTCTTGATTAAATATTGACTATAAAATAACTGGTACCTGCAGCAGTCCCAGGAAATATGCCTGTTAAAATGGAATTTTAGGATGAGTTTTGGATACACCTTTTACATATCCCTTGAATCTCTGCTGCACTGAGCTGTTCTGTTCTTCTTAATCCTTTGGGCTTGACATTGTGGAGTTACATCTACTGGGACTTAGGGTACTAGAAATTCATGGTATGCAGTAAAATTGCAATGAATCCACCTGTGATTGACTGTGATGGAGTGCCAACTAAATAAAGTACATGCCTTGCTGGGTGTGGTGGCACATTTCAGTAATCCTAGTACTCTGGGCAGTGGAAGCAGCAAATGGAAATACAAAGTACCTAGAAATGAGTTTAAAAGGAGACTGGAAGACGTCATATAAAAGAATAATTAACAGAATTAAATTCTTACAAAAAATTAAATGATCAGGGATGTAGCTCAGTGGCACAGTTCCTACCTGGTAAGCACAAGGCCCTGAGATCAATTCTTGGTACCAAAAAATAAAAAATAAAAATAAAAACAATTTGAATTCAATATTGCAACAACAAAAAGAATATAGAAAAGGAAAGAACTAAGATAAAAATAGAATATAAAAATTGTTTCAAGTTCTTTTTGTGATAAAAGGAATAAAGAATACAACAATCTGCAAAAAGAAATGATCTATTTCATCAGGCACTAAAAGATTTCAAAACCAAAGAAATATAAACTTGGTAAAGGTACAATCAAAGGTACAAACTTGGTAAAAGTACAATCAAATTTGTGCTTGGTAAAGCACAAATCAAAGAACTGAAGAAAATTAAAATATAAAGCAAATGATTTCAATAATATATCAAGTAGGCAGCACAAAGGAAAGGAAATAAATTATTTGGAAATTGTATTAGCATAATGTTAGGTAAATGAAAAAAAAAATGAGTTTAGATCCCTAATACAAAAGAAAACAAATTTCACATGGATTTAAAAGTTATGTATATAACAAAATAAAAAACACAATCCTGGTTCTAAAGTTCTTTATCCTTCAGTTAGGGAGCAAAACTTGGATCCTATGTAAAAAAACAAAGGCCTTTAGTCAAATTCTTTTTTTTTTTTTTTTCCAGTACTGGGGATCGAACTCATGAGCTTGCGCTCGCTGGGCAGGTGCTGTGCCGCTGAGCTAAATCTCCAGCCTTTAATCAAATTCTTTATACTTGCTATAAAGGTCCCAAGAATAAGAAGTAAAGTAGAAAAGCAGATAATATTTTTCAAATAACTGATGTGTACAAAGTGGTCTACACATATATTATTTCAATTTCAACAACACTGAGACAAAGTTATCTCTTTCACTAGTAAAAGAACTCACACATGGTAGAGCTTAGGTTAAAAGCAACATTTTTTTTTACACTAGAGCCTGGGCTCTTTATACCACATTTCATGACGATGAGTGTGGATAAAATAATCTGAGAGATCATTTATTAATTTTTTCCCATGAGGCAATATTTGAAATAAAAGATTAAGTTCAGACAGCAAAGACAGCAAAGTTCTACAGGCAAAAAAGAAGTTCTAGAAGCAGGAACTGCTGGACAGAGGATAGTGGGCTAAGCAGTGGGTAGAGAGGAAAGAGTAAAGCCAAAATGTAATAGAGGGAGGAAAGTAAAAGGTATCTTAGAAAAGAGACTTAACTGGATAAAATCTTATTAAAATAAAAGTACTAGACAATAAATATGTATACCTGTATTTAAATCTATAATTCTCATGTCTTTCATTTTTCAAAATGTATGCGAGGAGGCTAACAATATGAGAAAATTTAAAAGTCATTCATAAAGAACTGAAGAAGATAAGGGTGGAAGGATACTATGTTGAAAGAATCATTCATCCAGTTTTATCTTTTCAGAGTTAACCAGTAAGCAGTTAGGTCAAAAGTCCAACACTTTGGAGCATAAGGATAATGAGGGAAACTAAACCATGTTTCCATTCAAACCCAGGCTTAAGTTAGTGCTCTGGGGAAACAATCTGAGGCATGTTAATGGAATTCATGTTCTGGTGGACCCACACAGGGGAATTGTACAGTGTTTTCTCCTACAATCTAGCTGTTCAAGATAGTATACAACCATTCCAGTATAATATGTCTGATTTTAATGTAGGAGATGGATGGGATAGAAGAGAAAAACTCACCATAATACTTAATATAAAAAACTCAGGGTACAATTTTTACTATGATTGGTCATTATCTGAAGTGTTTGGATTCCTGACAGTCAACAAAAAAGAGATACACTGTAAAATAGATTCTCTCATTCCTAGCTGTCTAGACCTATTTATAGAAAATAAGCACTACCTTGTGGAGAAACATTAAGAAGACCTCTATCAATTTAGAAGTTCATAGTACTAGAAGAGTCCTCAAATTTCTACCCAAATATACAGTCAAAACCCCAAGAGACATTTCAGTGGAATCAAGCTAATTCAAAAATTTCTATGGAAAAGCAAAGGAATATGAACATCCAAGGCATTCTTGAGGAACAAGAGGGTGAAAAGACTTGTTCCAAGTACTGTATAAAGTTACAGTGAACAACAGAATATGATATTACTTCAAGGAGATACAAACAGACCAATGGAACAGAATATAGCATTTAAAAATATGCATGTTGCTGGGGATTTAGCTCAGTGGCAGAGCGCTTGCCTGGCAAGTGTGAGGTTGTGAGTTTGATTCCTGGTACCAAAAATAAAAAATGCATGTTACAGTGTGATGTTTTTTCAAAAGATAGTGTTACCCTCATATGGGGGACCCTAGAAAATGTCATGAATCACAGAAAACCCTTACTCCAGTCGTTAGAGAAGAAATTGAAAATGTATCTACAGCAATCTCAATGACCAAGGTTACTCAAGCAACAGTTTGCTGTACTAATAAATATCTGGAAGCTAGTGGCCACTTTGAGCACCTCCTGTAATTGTAGAGGCCAAAGGTAACATGTATTAATCTCATGATGTCTCAGTAAATTTAGTATTAAAATATTTATACAAGTTTTCTTTTTCCTGAAGTGTGTACACATTTGTTTGCAGACTGTGTATATATATAAAATCACCTGGATTTTAATTAAAGTAGCACTGCATATCAGTGCAGAAAAGATCTCATTTTTAATAACTGATACTATGAAAAGTGGGTACAGACAAAGAAAAAAATGAAATAGAATCTTACCCTACAGAAACCAATTTCAGATGGTGTAAAGACCTAAATGTTAAAAACAGAAACTAGAAAGCTTTTAGAAGCAAACATAAAAGAAAGTCCGTGTTATCTCAAGGTAGAAGAAAATTTCTTAAGTGCTAATCAGAGGAAAAGATTTCATTACATTAAAATTCAGAACTTCAACAAAAGACAGTAGTGAAAATTTGACCCAGAGAAGGAAAAAGTATTTGTCACACATATAACTGAAAAACACTAATACATAAAACATGCATGCATACATTTACATGTATCTACATAAATATTTATGCGTATACATAAACTGCTGTAAGTCAGAAAAAACAACCCAAATAAAAATTGGAAAAATATCTGAAGAAGCATTTTTGTTTGTTTGTTTGTTTGTTTTTCTGGTACTGGGAATCGAACTCACGATGTTGTGCTTGCTAGGCAGGCGCTGTGCCGCTGAGCTAAATCCCTAGCCCTTGAAGAAGCATTTTAGGAAGGAGGATATTCTAATGTCCAAGAACTGGTACTCAACTTCACTAATAATAGAAGAAATATAAATTAAACATAATAATTTTAGATACACACCAAGTTGGCAAAAATTAAAATATCATAATGCCAAGGGTATATTTCTTGATCTAGTTACTCTTCACTTGGATCTTTATAATTATTTGTTAAACTACACAAATGGATGTTTTATGCCATTTCTGTATTTAATTTGGAAGAAAATAAACACTCAAATAAATATTATGCATCTCTAAAAATATTTTCAAAAGTAAACTTTGTGGAAAAATACTTAAATATAATTCTATGAAAAAATGTAGGGTATGTTGCATGGCAAATTCTATACAAATTCAGTTTTTAAAAAAATATATTTTATATGAACATACAATATACTGAAAAGGAAATATTAAAAAGTTAGCATTAGTTGTAATAGAAAATTTGTTTCCTTCTTTAGGGATTTATGTACTATGTCTTTTCCCCCTGGCACTAGGGATTGATTGCTTCACATATGGTAGGGAAGTGCTCTACCACTGAGCTACATCTCCTGCTTAGGATGTCTGTATTCTTGAAATTATTTTAAATGATCATTTTCACTTTAATAATCAGAAAAATTGTATTTTTTAAACAGACAGGATAAAGAAAAATAAAACCACTTGACAATAAGAGCCACTCAAGTCGGGGAGGGGTGAGGAGCGGGAGTCTGGAGCTTCTACAGTTCCTAAAAAGGGAAGCTACAAAAATCAGGGCAAAAATTTTCAAGAAAAGGAAAGTAAGTCATGTCCTGACAAAGATAAAGGGGACAAAAGGAAATGACAAGCTACCTTGGAGATGTTTTATGGATGATGTTCAATTCAACAGCCATTCTTTACTCCTTTCTGGAGGTCTCCGTCCAAGCATGGCAGAGCTGAGGAAGGAGGAAGGAATCAGGAAACACCAGACTCTTCTGGGACCCCTTTCGATCATTTCAGAGGTCACTCTGGCTAGGCCTCTGGAGCCCACTTACACAGAGAGAGGTCGGAGAAGTCTGCAGCATCGTACTCAATCACTGCATCCGACCAAAAGCAGGAGAGCTGTACTTCTGGACAGAATCTGACCCTGAACTGAAAGATGTTGTCTGTGGCTCCAGTTACAAAAGGACAAAGATGCTCCACACCAAAGTCACTATGTGGACACCTAACCACACAAATTCTCTCACACCAAGAGGACATAAAAGTCACAGGCATCCCAAAAGTAAACCAAAAATGGCCGCAAAAACACACAAGTACAAAAAAACACATACCGTATAGTCAACAACCAAAGTCTCACACTTACATGCCATACACCTTGTGACACAGTGAAAGCAACAAATCCACAGGCACCCTACACCAACAATATCACATACACAGGGAAACTGCCACAAATATCAATTAAGGCTTCCTACACATGCCCCCCAACACACACACAGTTAGGAAAATGGTCAAAACACACAGGAGGGCAACCAAGAAATGCAAACATAATAACACACCTCAGGCATACCAACTCCATTCACACACCCAGGATCATAACCGCAAATGAAGCCCTCCTTGCCGCTTTAACGGTTCTGTATACGGACATACACATCCGACAGACACACAATAATGGTCATACACACTATCCTCACAATCTCCCCTTCTCTTCCTGACTCGCCCCCTGCTCCCCCAACTTGCACTCTGTGGAGTTTCCAGATTACGTGCTCGGAACCGCCTCACCTACGCCTCCTATGGTCGAGTCAGCCCCTCTCTTCTCTACTACGAACTGGTCGAACCCAGCTCTCACAAAGCACTCCGACTGCATACCCAACCCTGCGGGTTCTTCCCCACAGGTTATTCTCAGAGAGCGCCGAACCTAGAGGCCTCTGGGAAGTGTAGTTCAGGAAGGTACCGGACTCCTACATTTAAGTCCGATTGGATTCCTACGGTACGGAGTCCCGAAGAGGCCAAACTTGCTTCCCTAGGAGCTACTCATCAGAACCTTCCGAAAGTCTCAAGGAACAAGGTTTCCAAAGAGCAAACGGATTAGGTCATAAACCTTCTTTTTGGCTAGGTGTCCTCCTCCTAAAACTTTCTTCAGACACACTCCCCTTCAGACACACTCACAAACTCCTACGGCTTTAACATCCGCTGACTCCGTACCTTACCCATTGGCTATAACTCGCCAGCAACTATTGTATTCAAAGGTGACTGTTACACTGCTTAGTTGTTGAGATGGCGCCTCGCTCAGTAGCTCAAGCCGGCCTCGACTCACTGGCAAGGTTGCCGTGAAGGCAGTCACGATCCTCCACTTCAGTCTCCCGCGTGTTTGGATTACCGGCTTGCACCACAACGCTCAATTCTGCATTAATCGTCAACCAAGTCTCCCTCGCCTGCTTAATCTGTGCAGTGTAACCTGTCTTCAGTACAAGCTAAGTTTAGAGCGGTTGCGCATCTCCCAGTTTGGCCGCTAACGCCTCGAGGTACGCAGCTGGCCGCAGGGGCTTCCTGGGAAATGTAGTCCAAAACCTCCGGGGATCTGATAGGCGTGGCCAAGGTGGCACTGGAAGTGCTGTGGCCAGGACGACGTGACTGTACTGACTGAACCCAGAAAGCTGCTTGAAATTCCCAGACTCTCAAAGTGCGGGCACTGTCGTGAGGCTGGCAGCCACAGAGCGTGTCGGAGAGCTGGAAGAGCGATCGGAACTGTGGGACCTGAGCGTGTGAAAGAGACCAAATTGTCCAGGGGAATCTGAAGGAGTCAGCCGCGAGCCCAGTCCTACGACTGAGAGTTGGCAGAGGAAGTGGCGAGTGTGTGAGGGAGACCGTGCGGGAGTTCGGATGACAGGGAAGCTGTGTGCGGGTAAGATTGATGTGAGTGAGTGAGCGGTAAGATCAACATTACGTGTAGCTTTGTGGAGTTCCGACAGTAACATTGTACTGTGTATGCGCGGAGCGACTGTGTGGGGCGAGATAGTCTATGAGTGTGTGTGTGTTATTGCCTGAATGTGGATCACTGCATGGGTGGTTGAAATTGTAACTGTGGAAAAATCTGAACCCTTTTAGGTTTCATTTCCTCTTCAAATTAAAATTAATAAAACTATGTCTTCATGAAGGATCTACTTTGGGGTGAGCTAAATAATTGATAATGAATCTACAGTATTTTATATAAAATTTAATATTCAGACATTCGTTGTGGAGTAATATTCAAAATCAGTATTCCTTTTAAACAAGATATATTTAGTTAAGGGGTGCATGTCTTGGGTTGTGTCCAGGAACCTCCCTACAAGCATTTTTCCTTCTCTGTTCTTTACCAAACACTGGTTCAGTAAACATTCAGACATGAGATTGTCGCATAAAACCAGTAGCATTAGCTACAATTTAAAAATGTTCAGAGGAAGGTGTATAGGAATGTGATGCTGAAGATCTAGAGCAACATAACCACATTTGGCAGTATAAATTTCTGTGTAATTCACATTTTTAAAGTGTTGTCTCTTTTCCCTTTTTGAAATATTCAGAAACTATGCACGGTATAATAGGCTCAGTTTTGAGATGCAGACTTCAAATAGTCTCAAGCCCTTTGCTATATGATTGTATATGAAAGATTATTTACTTTGCTCATTGTGTATGGTAACACCTTTCAAGAGCCACTCTGCTGTTGGGAGCAGCTGAAGCTGGAAATTGGTCTTACGTGTGTGAGGGCAGGACAGAGCCAGAAGGCCTCAACAGTCAAGCTACCTCAGTCTTGAGAAAAGCATCCTGCCTGGACAATACAGTCATTAGTCACTAGGCAACACTGCCTCTCCTGATACTAACTTTGCAAGAGTATTAATAAATGCCCCTACTGTTGTTGTGCAGGTCCTCTTACCTATCAGGCAAGAGATCGCCTCCACCTGACCCAGCTCTTGTCTCTTGTCTTTATTTTCCTCATACCCACCGCCATTCCTCCCCAGGGTACAGCGAGAGACTAACAAGTTTCCTACACTCTGCCACAAGTGAGAGATAGTTCTTGAAAATCTTGCATCACTTTCACACAGATGTTCCCATCTCCAGACTGGATGAAGTTGTTTCCCTAGAGCACTGGCATATGAGACAGGAAACTAAAGGACTGTCCTCCCTCAGGATGGCACTATCCAGGAGGGTGAGATCTCAAATGGGACAAAGGCATAAGGAGAAATTCAGCTAGCCTGGGGTTTCTTTTAGCTTCCAGTCTCTCCGGAGGGAGCAGTTTCCCTCCACATCTCCTGTCATAATATTCAGCCTCACCACAGGACCAAAAACCAGCAGACCATGGACTGAAACTCTGAGCCTAAATACAGATTATTCTGAGGTGTATTGTCACATCGATGGAAATCTAAGATAGGCTTCAAAGTGAGGGTCTTTGGTTCTGGTCTGTGAAAGGATCTTCAGGCCCTGGACTATATTTTCATGAGACCATACACCCTGTGCAACTTCCTGTCAGTGCCCTGAGAGGGCATTTGAGACCTACGAGGGATGATGCAAATCCCTGTGGAAAGTACCTCTATTTGAGGGGGCCTCAGTATCATGACAGCGGGTCTAAGACCTAGAAGCAAATGCACCCTGTTGGCCAAGTACAGGTGTGAGTGGACTGGGGCATTGGGAGGTGGGTGCTGGTGTGGGGCTATGCACATGGAGATCACTACAGTGCTATGAACGAACAGCTTCTAGCATGCTAGGTCATCTCCCTCACTGCCCCTTTTCTGACCTCTGGTATCTGTCTATGTGGTCTTGCTTTAGTCCTGTAATTGAATCATGAATTTTTTTTTATTTTTTATTCATGTTAGAATGTCTTCTGGTGAGTTTTTTGGTACATAGGTGAATTTTGGCACAGTGTTCAAAATGTTATATATATATATAACATTATATATATAATGTTATATATAACATTATATAATATATAACATATTATATATAATATATATGTGTGTGTGTGTGTATATATATATAGTCATAGTGTTTGTAGTTTTATTTTCATGGCATGAAACAGATTTTCCTGAAATAATTGTCACTTGTAGTTTCTTATGAAAAAGGAAAGTGAGCAAGGGTAGTTTTTTGTTTTTCTGCGCAAATATAATTTGACCCCCTGGAATAGTTAGGTCTACTTTGTCTTTCAGAACCTAAATTGGTTCAGGAAGACTCAGACTCTTAGCTCTGAATCCATCTCGTTTCTACTCTGCAATTAAAAAATACAATCAGGCTTCTTGCTCATTTTATGAGGAAGTACTACCTAGATACTGAAACCCATTAAAGCATATTTGTATATGTTATTTGTATTAGTCAGTCTTCTTGTTGCTGGGACATATACAACCCAAAAGAGATGTTTTATTTCAGCTCACAGTTTCAGAGATTTCAGTCTATGGTTCGCTGACTCCAAGCCAGGAACACCATAGTGGAAGGATACCGTGGAACAAAGCTACTTATTTCGTGGCAGCCAGGAATCAGAGCGAAGAAGGCACCAAGGAGAGATATAATCTCCAAAGGCTGCCTCCAGTGACTTAAAGTCTAACAGCACTTCACCTATGAACATCAGTGGATTAATCCACTGATGAGTATAGGGCCCCCATGATGGAGGCACCTCTCCAGGAATTCTAGTCCATTCAAGTGGACAATTAAGATTAACCAGCACAATATCTCATAAGAATATGTGTGCAGAAATCCTCAACCAAGTACTGGCACCAAATCTAGTGACACAGGAAAAAAACTGGATTATATAACATGACTGAGCAGGATTTATCCCATGAGTGCAAAGATGATGACTCAACATCCAAAAATCAGTTAATGTAATGCATTATACCATTAGAAAACACAGTCATCTCAAGAGACAGAAAAAAAAGCCAGTACTCTTTCATGGTGAAATAAACAAATCCACAGGCTAAAAGCTAGGAGTAAAAGAATTTCCACAATCTGAGATAAGGCATCTGAGAAACACCACAACTAATATTATATTTAATGGAGAAAGACTGGCTGTTTTTCCTTCTGTCAGAGATGTCTACTTTTGCAATTTCTGTTCAGCACTGGAATGGAGGTTGATAAGAAGGGCATTCTTGAAAGAATATATATGTAGTTTTTAAAAATGGTACTGCAGATTAAATTCATTGTCTTCATGGTGTGCTATATCCCCAGATCATTTTTATATTTTTTTATATTTTGAGATAGGATCTCACTAAATTGCCTAGGCTGGGCTTATGTATCTGATTCTTCTCCCTCAGCTTCCTGAGTGCTACAGTTACAGATATATGCCAACATTCCCAGCTCAGGGAAATACTTTTAAATACTTTTTACTGAAAGTTGTTCCTCAGCCAAACTGACTACTCACTGAAGCCCAACCTTACTTCAGTCTTAGAATTCAATTCATCAAAAGATACCCTGCTACTCAGTGTTAGTAAAACAGGGGGCAGAGAGCATGTTATGTTCCATAGGGCAGCACCCAAATAATTCATTCAACCAAATGAGAAACGCTGAAATCCAAAGAGTGATGAGAAACAATATGCAAAGTGCATGTGCTTTGGGTACAACAAATATACGCTATCTCTTAATAATGAATTTGAGAAAGTGACCAATTATCTTATGTTTCAAATTAGGATAGCTGATTTTTAACAGGTGGCTTGAGCATAAAGCTTAGTGTACATATATGCACACTGATCACTAATATATCTGGACATTTATCATGCTATTTTATTTACTTTTGTTATGCTTAACTTTTCCATATTTCTCAGTAAAATAAAGATACACAAAATACTCATACATAATATTGCTCAGTCAGTATGTTTCTTGTCATCCTAGAGTGGGAAGGAATTATCAGAGCCATATTCTCACTTTCTTCAAGACTATACTGAATGAAGAGGCTGCAAGGATGATGCAAGAATGCAGAAAGAAAGAAGAGAGTGCTGGGGCCTTAAGATTAATGGGAACTGGTAGTGCAGCTTGGCTAAATACTCCATGTGCACAAGTCTGTTTGTGCCCCAGTAAACACTAGTAAATCTGTGTATATCAATTATACCACTGAATGTATGGTGAATCTAGTCAGGATTATTTAACCTCAAAAATTACCTTTATTTTTGTGGTGTGGCCCTTCTTGGATGCTTTGGGTAAGTATGAGTCAGTAGGTGTTATAAACACTTGGGCATGGAGTGCAGAAAAAGACACTGTCATTGAAGTACAGTAAAGGAAAGCCCTATGCAAGTATAGTGGGTTCCCGGGTTGGAGAAATCCATTACCCTTGAAATAACCCTGGGGTTATACAGGTATAGGAGACATGGCTTATACAGGTATAGGAGACATTTCTGGGAATTCCAATGGCTTTATCTCATATTCTGATCCAGGTCATCATTGTCACACAACCATTTGGAGTGAAACCCCACCCTGCATTAATTGAGTCTTTCTTATTCGGGATAGGGCGAGGATTTTCTCAGACTCCCTCTGACCTTCCTACAAAAAAGAAAATGTTCTTCTCATTCGTGCTTTTGAAATGTGTAAGGAAAGCCTGTTATGAATCTTTCCTTCTATCGTATTTTCTCAGGACTCTGCTTCGCCAAGAGTGAAAGGCAAAAAAACCAAAACAAAACAAAACAAAACACAAAAAACAAACTGGTCAATTATTGGAATTCAAAATCATGTGAATTGGAAACACACGCAAAAATACACTATTGGTATCACATAATATGAATATTTTAATGGTTATCTTTAAACTACTTATATGAGTCACTTCAGAGTAGTAAATTATGGATGTGGAACTGTCTAGTTCCTTCCCTCAGAGTCCATCTTTTCTCCATTGAATATTTCCAGATCTTTCCATGAGGGCATTCAGTGTCTCCCATGTCTAATTCTTCTGACAAGGAAGAAAGAGAAGTCTATTTCCATACTGGGAATATTACAGAATTTTTCTTCAAAATTGTAAGTTAATAAGATGGAACTGAGTTGTTCAAGGATCACACTACACGAAAGCTTTTATTTACTCCACAGAATGGGCTGTTTCAGTTAGTCAATATGGAAGCTGGCTTTGGTTGGTATTCATGTCATTATGTGGCATCGTGTGATGCTGTTAGAATTTATAAAGGAATACTGAGTTCACAGAGAGCTGAGTTCTGTCTCA